TGGTCTCGCAGTCTTCTTTATTGAATTTCTAGTGATATCGGTTATCAGTGTCATCACTAAAGTAAATTTCCCCCACTTCTCATTTTTGTCTATCAGGTCCTCCTTAATGAAGTCGGGGGTGAGCCATGTCCAGTTCTTTCTAAACCTGATCACCTGGCCGGGGCCGCCGACAGAGTTCGACAGAGTACGCGACCACAGGATCCATTGGATTTGGATTTCGAACTATGCTAGGAGCATGTTGTGGATGGTTTTCTGAAAGCGGACATTAAAAAAAAACACGGCACATAATCCTTGCTACAGACCAGCAACTAGAACACCTGAGCCAAGCAAAGACCTGGTACATAGATGGCACATTTAAGTTAGTCAAGCGACCATTCCAGCAGCTGTTTACCATCAACGCATTTGTGCGCACTGACGATCACGCGAAACAAGTTCCGCTGGTGTTGGTAATGATGTCTGGAAGAAAAAAGAAAGACTGACTGTCGTGCGGTAAGTATTATCTCAGTCATCTCATTGTAATATGTTTTAATGCTCACAGCTAAATCACTCACTATGTCTCGAATATGTTTTAGTAGCTGATAGGGTTGCTTAAGAAATACGATAAACGTCATTGCTAAGACGATCTTGACATGTCCTGAGTATCAAATGTAACGCTAAACAATTGTCACGAACTTATAATGATTGTCACACTCAATTTATTTCTTCCTGATTTTACGATGACGTTGACAGGACGAAAAAAGATAACGATTATATTGTTAAACGTTCTCTCTTTCTTTTCTTCACTTTTAGGTCATGAAGTCAATTCAGCAGATGCTCCCTGTTGACCCTGAGGTCCGCCAGATAACCATCAACTTTGAAAAGGCTCTCTGAAGTGTTCTTCGGCAGTTCCTTCCTAACGCTAGGATCAATGGGTGTGTATTCCATTGGACTCAGGCTCTTTGGAGGAAGGTAGGTTGAAAATATTGTTAAACTGTTTTCGATTAATCCCTAACCTAATCAGAGGATTCAAAACTTAAAACATAAATCGGATGATTCAAAACATAAATCGAATTTCGTATGTACACGTTGAAGAAATGACAGTCAAACTTACTTACCCGCGGTTATGACAATACTGGCGTAGATCAACACTATTCCGCTTGAGCATTTACTAGTCTGCTAACAGGCTGCCGGCGAGAGGACAAGCTAGCATTTTGCATGAACCAAATCAAGTCAAACACCATTTGTTAGAAAACAGAAGAAGTCGACTTAAACCCAGATGGCAGTAGGATTTTGAGAATCTAGACAAAAGTAATAATTTGCTGGAGTTTTTTTCAGATTCAAGAGCTTGGACTCCAGCACCAATACAATCATGACAAAGGCACATACCTGTATATGTGTAAACTCACGGCCCTGCCGTTCCTGCCCCAAGGGGAAATCCGTCCAATGTTCGAGCAGTTGCGAGCTCAGCCAACAACAGACCAGCTGAAGCCGGAAACCTGGATCAAAACCCGGCAACACCTGGCCGCTCTCTTGCTGGAGCGTTTTCCAGATGACTGTAAGAACAAACAATGACATCGAAGGATGGCACAATGGCCTTCATCGCCGTACGTCGGGCAAATGGAGCATGCTAATCTACCTCCTGCTCGACCTTCTCCATCAAGAGGCTCGGCTGACGGTACTACGAATTCGTTTGGTCTCCGAAAAAAAGCTATAAAGGATTCAAAGAGCAAATAACGCTCCCTTCAGGCCAAAATATTCGATCATTGAGATGATTTTTCGAATGAGAGAAACACTGCTGAACGTCTGAATGGCCCGTCACGAATATTCGCTCAGCACTCCAATTAATAGAGAAATGCATTTATTTAAAGTTTTTTGGTTCAGCTCCCTGCAAATAGTTCTATTACATACAACAATTTAACAGGGTGCGTGACCACCAGGGTCACGCACATGTCCCCACTGTGACTAGCTAAAAAGTGAGAGATTAAATTTATTTTCTACACAACTGTTGTTGCGTGATTTTCCTTTACACCTCCCTTTCACCAAAAGATGTCTGACAGGGCACAGGGATCAGAGGATCGATACGTTTTTACTTGAAGTGCCCGTAACTCTACGTGACCAAACTGTGCAGAATCCCAATTTCTCTAACTTCCCGATAACTCGAAACAAAAGTCGTTTCCCCTCCTCAGTCAGACGCTGTAATATCTCAGAATTTAACTGGAAATACGGTCAAATACGACTCCTCCGCTACTTGTGGGTAGTGGTGTTCATCTATCTTCGCGAAATATTTTGGACTTAAGTGTAGGCGAAACGACTTTAATGTAGGTGAATCTACTCAGATCGTGTAGGCGAAACGACCTCGGTCGTGTAGGCGAAACGGCCTCGATGTAGGCGAAACGACTTGTAGGCGAAACGACTGACATCCACTCTTGGACTACCAGAGTCATGTCGACAATCGGTGCGTATAAAAATGGTTTACAGAAAACTATGCTTAATCGAGCACATCGTTTATCTTCGTCTTGGTCATATTTCTCCGATGACTGTGACCGATTGCAGACAGTATTCTCACGTTTGAATTGAGGTATCCCAAACACATTGTTAACTCCCCATCAGAAGTTTTGTTGACTCAAAGGTTTGTGACTAGCAGCAGCTTTTATCACCATCTAAAGAGACAGATGGCATGGTTCGAGTAATTACCACTTAAAGACCAAACCAGTCAGCAGATATTGTGAGGAAACAACTTAAAGATCTAAACCTAAAAGTACACCCCACCATCCAGCCTGTGTTTGAGAGCCGGAAAATTGAACGAGAACTCAATGTGAAAGAAACGAAGCCACCAGTTGTAAATCAGCAGTGTGTTGTTTATGGTTTTCAATGTGACCTGTGCGATGTGGGTTACGTAGGCTACACGCGCAAACATTTACATAATCCTGTAAAAGGACACAAACAACAATATTCTCCGCCATTGCCAAATACTAAAAGAACATGCACGGGACGATCCCTCGGGACTTGCTAAATCGTTTCGAAGTGCTTAAGAAATGCAGAAACAAATTTGATTTCCTAGTAACCAATAAAAATGTCGAAAAATCCTCACACAGATCTGTCATCTGTCGTCTGCTGACTGACACCGGTAATTTGTTTTGTCGTACGTGCGAACAGGAAGGCAGGTAATTCAGTTCATCAGACATTGTCGGTTTTGAGTTTGAAGGTTTGCATGCGATAACTATTGGATCAAATCTTATTTCATCTGATTCTACATTTTATTAACTTTACGGCATCTAACACTTTTCTGTT